ATGGAGTAGTTCTCCCATTCATCTGGGTATGGAGAACCCTAGATTTGTATGTTAGGTTTGATTGTATGAACCCAAGTACTGATTCTATGATTGATTGTATTCGATTGAGGTTTTAATGATTGAATGACTTGAATCCTGATCAAATTCCTGTTGTTTCTGCTTTAACCTAGAATGAGAATATCTGCCTAGGTTGATAGAGTATCCTTGATTGAAGGTAGGGAGTTGGTGACTTTAGTCGAGGAACCAACTCACTATTCTGTACCGGATTTACTCCGGTAGTGGAGGTTTTGTTCTTAGGGCCTCAATCTGTTTACTCCGGTGGAGGTTAGTCGCCCGCTAGAGATTCAGATTGAGAGGGTCTGAAGACCTTTAGTCGAGACTTCAGGCTGTTTAAGAACCTTCCGTAGAATAACTTTCATAGAAACTGAACTTGGTAATTACAATCCGGCTTAACTGCAGTCTGGGGGGAACCATATCCGGGTGACCTCTTTAACCTGAATACAACAGTTTACTTGTTTTGTTTGTTTGGTAGTTTAGACTTTCATTCCAGTTTCATTGCTAGATAACAAGATCTCACTGAGTAGTCATCATATCTAGGACCCGGGTTGACATATAAACCTAAGCCGCTATACTACGCTTTAGGGAGTGGTTACACTTGGCTAATTCCTAGGGTGACAGTAGAGTCGAGTCAGTAGCTGCAGGGGAGAAGTAAGTGGTCTGCTGTCTCTTCTGAAGCAAATCAAAGACAACAATGATTGAGGAGAATCCACCCTCGTAATCGAAATTGAACGGTTGTCAGGATTTTTCTCCGAAAGCCAACCAACTGAAAATTGTGACTTTGGTGGGTACCATCGGCTGCCAATGGATTTTGCTGGGAATGACGATCCAAGGCCAGGAAAGAGATCCCGAGTCAATTCCTTATAGCAGAGGCTGAGAAGGCATCCTCCTGCAAAGTGGATTACCTTCGAGTCGTATTTGCCTTTGTAATATTGGCTTCTAACTGAATTTTCCTTTTTTCCATTGAAAGTGATTTCAGAGAGGGAATTATATTTTCCATTTTGATTATCTTTCCTGTGAAATTGAACTATGGAGGCGTTAAGCTGTTGAGATTAATTAGGTTTCTGGGGAGCTCCATGTTTAATTATATTTTCCATTTTGATTATCTTTCCATTTTGATTATCTTTCTTACCCTCACTCTTTATTCAACGACCCACCACTTCCAATTGTCTAGAACCAGAAGTTTGCACAGGCCTACCATACTTTGTGCTTTAATTAACTGTTAATATTGGGGGTCGTGGAGATTCGAACACACGACCACTTGGTCAAACCAGCTCTGATACCATGTCAAAACCAATTGCTCCCAATAATTCGAGTTGTTGGGAAAAGTTCTGTTGGATCTTATACCACTCTCTAACACCAATCTCTCTTTCCCATCTACATCTCTTTCTTCCCTCCCGATACGAGAAGCTGCAAGCAGAGTTTCAACCTCACATCATTGGCGACTGTAGCGGAGATAAACCTAGCGACGTCGGCAACTGCAGCGGAGTTTTACCAGCTCCGATCTACACCGACGTTGACGGTCGTCTTGAAGTCCGTCCGATCTCCATTTTCGATCTCGCAAGCTTTGCATGGGATTTGTGCTTCGGACTCAACCAACTGAAGCTTGGAATCAGTTTAGGACTGATTTGGTCTCATAGATGTGGCAAACTCGACCTGCTAGATTTCGAGCTTCGTCTTGAGTTTGATTCATTGTTGTTTGGTTGTATTCATTAAATATTGAGGACTTGTTCAGTTGTAATGGTTAATACATGTTCAGTTGTAGTTCAAGGTAGTTGTTTTGACAAGTAGACAAAATTGGGATCCCCTCTTTGCCCCTCCTTTTTTGTGTTAGTGTTTTCACTTCTGAAATATTACTACTACTCAGTTTTGGATTGTGAAAGAAGTTGAAAGTTTTAGATGAATCCCATGAATTTATCTGAATATTGGATCATGGCATAATAGCTTTTCTGTGGTTTTAAACTTGCTGCTTAATTTGAATGGAGGCTGTGTTCGGCGCAGTTGGGTTGTTATTTAATGAATGCCTATTTGGTCGCAGACTCGCAGTGTTTGATCCGTCTATGGACCAACTTTTGCTTTTTGTCAGTGATTCTCATGGCTAGTAGTAGTCTCAATGATTGATTTTTGCTTTGCTGGGTGCAGACCTGTTAGTATGAGCAGCAAGTTCCTCTCGACATGATCGAAACAGAAATCGGCACTTATCTAAGCTCGTACCAAGTACTAAGTATATTGTTTGCTGGCTTTAGTTGGGCATTAAGAAACACCTAGGTAAGCCACAAGGATAAGCTCATGCACAAGCAGGGTAAGATATGTATGCAAATTGCAAAGCCCTATAAGCAGTGATCATTTGTTTCCCTCCTTTTCAATGTCCGTTTAAGATGCCTGCTTTATTGTAGTCTAGTTGAAGCTGATATTGATTTAGTTGTTTATCTTGTTTCCATTTGTAATGAATACAATGTTCTATTCATAGATTGGTTGTATTATGTGTGTTTAATGGTACTTATCTATAGCAGTACGAAACTAGACTTGTTTATATTGTTCTCTTTGTACTTATCTAGGCTAAGACATGGATATCCTCTTTTGTATTGTTCTGTTTTGCAGCATGGGAAAATGAAAGCAACGTGATGAAGATATGGATGGTGCTTGCTCTAAGAAATATACGTACTGGAAAGAGGAACTAGGAAAGCCATTTGTTGACTGTATTCTGGAGCTTGTAGAGAAGGGGCAGATCGTTGACGCCAACTGCAAGAATGGGGTTATAACTAGTTAAAGAAACTGTTGCAGGAAAGAGTGTCGGGATGCAGGGTCAAGGCATATCCTAACATTGAAGGCAGGTTCAAAAAACTGAAAAAGAGATGGCATGCAATAACATTTATGAGGAAACAAAGTGGTTGGGGATGGGACGAGGTCAATAAATGCATTGTATGTCCCGAGGGATCTTGGGATGATTTTGCGAACGTAAATGATGACTTGATATATACACGTGTTTTTGTCCATCATTCCTATACCGTTTGAATCTCATCTCTCGTGTTTTAGGCCGATTTCACGCTAGGTTGTTCTTTTTTGTGATATTTCAGGTCTTAGCACGTGAAGGAAGGTTTGGGCATGAGTTCTGGGCCGATTGGACGAAGTTAGAACGTGGACGAAAAGCTGGGAAAACCACACGGCCAGACCTAAATGTCACACGGCAGTGTGACGTGGCCGTGTGGAACCCCTTTGCGCGAGCAAGCCACACTGGTCGTGTAAAGGATCCTTCGTGGCCGTGTGGAATTCCCAGGGAGCTCACACGGACAGGCCATAATTTCACACGGCCGTGCGGTTCTGGTCGTGCAGCGTACATGAAGTCAGGTTTGTCACATTCACTTCGTCTAAATTTCTTCCATGTCCCTTAGCCACAATGGAGTTTGAGTTTCGCCCTGATCTTTGTATAGTGGTGGGGTGGTTTATACCCTTGCTCCATTAATGGTTATCAGCTGCTTTTACTAAGAATTAGTTGCTTGAAGTTTTCATTTGGTTGTTTGGAGAAATGGTTCATGCAGTATGCTGGGTGCATTTAGGGCTTTACCATCTAGATTTCGATAGTTTGTTGATTTCAAATTGTTAGCTAAACGGTTCCTTCTTGTTCGACAGACTTTCGTTAGCTTCCTTGAACAAAAATGGCAGAAGAGGAAGAGAAAGAAGGGGAAGAGACATGAGAGAAGAAGAAGAAGAAGAAGAAGAAGAAGAAGAAGAAGAAGAAGAAGGCAGCTCAGACAGTCAGAAGCAGGAGCAGAGTGGGGAAGGCATAGTTTCCTTGCGGCTAGGGGCTCCAATCCTGGTAGTAGTTTTCATATAGGTAAAAATATATATTAGTGATAGACTAGGTGATTTAAATTAGAATACTAAGATTAATAGTACACATGTTTTCCATTAGTGTACGTACGACTAATTTGTTATTGTGTTTTCAACACAAGTTTAATAGTAAAAAAATTTATTCTTTTCCCCAATTATTTTCAAAATAACAATTGAACCTAATTACAAGCTACCCTTATTCCCTCCATTCTATCATATCCATTGATTTATTTGCTTCTCAAAGTTATTGATTTTACCGATTGCAACTGCAAGTGTTGAAATAACATTTTCAGTTTTGGTATACTTTAAGAACATGTTTCGAAATTGAATAAGCGATTAGTTCGTGAATGATTGTATAGTAAGATAGAGATATTTGTTGAGCCCTGTAGACACCAAGTTTTACAACTTTTCCAGAATATGAAAACACGTCGTAAACACCATGTTTCTTATTAAGAATAGGGCTAGAGTAGGACCGATCTTGATTGTGAAACTTCCTCTTTTGAGCCTCATTCGAAACCTCCTCCAAACGAGCCATTTGAAAAGCTTGGCCGAGAGTTTGAGGCTGCACCATTGTTACCACCGGTCGAAGTTCCTCCTCGATACCACTAATGAAGCTGGAAATGAAGTAATCCTCTGTAAAACAGGATTGTAGCTAAGCATCAATGAATAAAGTTGATTGAACTTCTCCTAATAATCCAGCAATGCTCCTGTCGGTTTGAGTTTGTTGAATTCACCAACAACACCCCCCATAGTGAAATCCTCAAACCGATTGCACAAGGCTTAAACGAATTCACCCCACACATAGATGCACCTACCAGAAGACCACCCCTTGAACCAAATATCAGCTCTTTGTTCAAAATAAACCACTGATAATTTAACCTTCCTATTATCGGGTATGTGGTACACCTCAAAGAGCTTCTCACATTTCCGGACCCAATCCCCTGGTTTATCGCCATTGAAAGAGGGGAAATCTAACCTAGGAATTTGGTAGTGGAAATTACCTCGATGTTCATCTTCACGGTCATCCTGTACACGACTACGAGATGGAAGTGGAAGCCTTATAACTTCGTTCCGATCATACTAAAAGGGACCGTGATCGCCGTTAGGAGCAGTTAGTGGAAGAATGATGCCCTCCGGAACTCGATGTGTTCTAAACCTAGTCCATGGAGCTCCATAGGCTCCACGCCTCTATTCGGGAGCAGCAACAAGCCTCGATTGACATTTTGATCCATCAGGTGCAATCTGACGTCCTCAGCAGCGGCATGGTGTCCTTTTTGTCTTAACTCAGTGAGCAAGTCTGTGAATTGTCCATTCAATGTTCCAATTTGCTCCTCAAATCCATCCAGACGAGTTTCTACTGCTCCAGATTGCGTCAAAATCGTCGCCAATTGTTGCGTATGGCCATCAGCTCGAGTGGCCAGAGCTAGGAGTCGCTGCTCCTTCATCGTGGTCGCGGATTTCCGTCAGTTGCGTCATGTTCGTTTGGCTGCGACCACCAATTTCCTCCAGTTGTGCATGGAAAGACGCCAAGCGGTCCTTCAATTTCGTCATATGAGTCAAAACTTCGGCGACGCATTCTTTCATGGAAACCATACGCGCAGTCTTCGTCATTGCCCATAACGGCTCTGATACCACATTGTAACAGTCTACATCTTATCTCAGTGAAGTCACTTGAGAAATGGAAGAATGATAAGGAACAACGATGGATCCAGGACATAGCAGAGAACTGGGCCGCATTTGAATAGAATATTGGATATCATAAACAAAAAAAACTATAGTTTTCATTCAATACAATGCCAATTGTACTAGGAGGTCTTTTAATTTGGGAAATCCATCAGTCATAGGATCTCCATCCATACCAACAGTATACTCTCTTTTAAAGAAAATAGCTAGGCAATCAACGAGAAATCCATCGGTCATTTTGTTGCGCAAATTAGTTTTTTAAGAGAGGTATAAGATCCATAATAACATTTTCTCAACAACTCGAGTTATTGGGACTAACTAAATTATGACATGGTATCAGAGCTTATTTGACCAAGTTATTGTGTGTTCGAATATCCAGGACCTGCAATATTAACAGTTGATAAAAGCATGAGGTATGGTGGCTCTATGCAAACTTCAAACTCATGAGTTGGCTTTCGTTTGAGGGGGCGTGTAAGATAGTGGTATAAGATCCATAATAACCTTCTCCCAACAACTCGAGTTATTGGGACCAACTGGTTTATGACTGTTTTCACATATTTCATTGCTGAAAATGTTTTCTCCATGGTAACCGTTGAAATAGGCAAGGTAAACACAAGACAAATCAACCGACAAATTAATCTGTATTGTGTCTCCAACCCTGTTTCTGACAGCTTCTCTAGTAATTTTGTAAGAGAGTAAACTTCGTATTCCTCACTAGAAACCACATGAGCGGCAATAATATCATAGCTCATTCTTCAAAGAATGCATCTCATGCTCTTCAAAGTCTCGAAGCAAAACTCTTGAAAAAGTTTGTAAATATCTTCTTCACCAAAAGACCGGAAAAACTGTTAGGATCTAGTGCACCACTCAACTCAAGTAATCTAAATGATGACTCCGTAAAATATTTTCTTAATCAAAAGACTGAAAAGAAAACCAGAGCCCGACGGACTGGCGGAGGAATTCATTTTGGATCCATTCGTCTCCTTGTTTTTGTTTTGGGGGGATTGGGAATTTTTGTTTTGTTTTGACAGGGAAGGGTGAACTTAGTTTAGAGGGATTTTTAATTTCAATGAAAATTTATACTTAGTCTTTTACGTTTTAGACTTTTAGATTTTATTGTTAATAGAATTTTGTAACCCTCTAGTACTATTGTAAATTAACAAACATACCCTTCCACTAAATTTTTGCACAAACATACCCTTCTAATATTAAAACGTAACGAGTTTACCCTTCATCCAATTATCTATGAAGTGGTCATTAAAGAAGCTATGAAATGACTCAATTGCCCCTCATTTACTCTTAAACATTAGTTTTAAATATTGTGTCTCAAATTAATTAATTAAAAAAAATCAAACCCTAAACTAATTCATACCCACTCGACGGAAACCGTCTGTCTCCCCCTGCCGATTATTCCATGCGGTGGCGTCTACTCCCGGCATCTCCTTTCGTTTCTTCCTCTTTTTGATACTTGTGCAAGTTTCTTCTTCCTCTTGTATTGCTGGTTGATGGCTTGGTGAGGTTTGATTGCAGAGCTAAAGGCTAACGGGATTGGAAGATATAGACAAGGGTGTGGCGTCAATCTCACCAACCTAATCTTCCATATGAGTTGTGGGGCGCCGTCGACATCACTTTAATTAAATCTGTTAGCGGAAGCCAAAACCAGGGACTAAGATGGTGGTGCTCGACATAGGCGATCGAGGCAACGATGACTAATATTAATATGGTGGCTGTCGAAATAGGCGGCCAAGGCAACGGCTAGGAAAATCAACATTCGATTGGAGGTTCTATTCGAGAAAAAAGACATGGAAGTAAATCGCCGGCGACAGAACGCCGGCTAGCGATACTGACACCGAGGGAGAAGGGCGTTTCCGAACTCGGGATTCAGGAGTTAGGAGGTCGTCGGCCAGCGAAATCCTCCGGCGTCAGCGAAAACGAAGGAGGGGGACTCAGAGCCGATGGTTACAGTTTCTCTCTAGGCGAAGGATTGAACGCCACCAATGGGGAGACCACCCCACTGCCCAGCAATTATTTTATATTGGGTTTTTTTATTGATTTGGGATATAAAATAATTAAAATCAAAATTAGAATTATTTATGAGTAAATGAGGGGTAATTGAGTCATTTCACGGGCCCTTTAACGATTACTTAACAGATAATTGGATGAAAGGTTAAACTCGTTACGTTGCATGATTGGTCACTGAAATTATAAAAAACGTTCAAGTTTGGTCACTCGAAATATTTAAATCCATTGGTGGTACTTCAGTTTACTGAAACTGTTCATGTTTGGTCACTCTCCGTCCAACTCCGTTAACTTTTGCTTACGTGGCAGTCAACTATAAAAATTGACCGTTAAATGTGTGACGTGGCAATTAAAAAATAATAAAAATTTATAAGATCACTTTTTTTTATTTTCCACCTCAATTATAACTATTAAAAAAAATAAAAAAGTCATTTCACCTTCTCCAATCACTGCCTCACCACCACCTCTTTCCCCGGCAGCTACCTCAAAGCCAACCTCCTCACATTCGCTGATACCCAGCAATCCAAAAATTCAAGTACACAATAACCTCAGACCCACTCAACATCAAAGCCTCATGGGTCGGTTGCGATGTCTGCACCTACCGCAGCTTCTTCTGCGACAGCCCGCTCGACAATGCCTCGACCACCGCCACATCAATCGGCTTCAACGGCTTCGGCCTCTCCGCCCTTTCTTCCACGCACTGTCAGAGGCCACCAAAGGGAAGATGAATCCGACTTCCGACTTCCGCTCCCCTCGCGATTGAGACGGTTACGACACACATACAACCTCGATTGCCGATTTGCCGCCGTCCATTACGTTTACCCTTAATTATCTCATGGGCAAATGAGTGAGCGGCGCTGAGATTTCTCGGGCGAAGGAATGAGCGGCGACCTCTAGGGATTTGAAAGCGTTGGTGGCGATCTCGGGAGCGAAGGAATGAGCGACAGAGTGATCTCACGAGCAAAGGAGTGAGTGACGATGGGTAGAGATTTGGAAGAGTGGCGGCGATCTTGCCGGAGAAAGAGTGCACGGCGACTGCGAGCAGAGAGGAGAGAGAGAGAGCTGTATCAGAGGGACTTGTTCAGTCTTCACCGGATAGGGAACGCGGTGACGAGAAGAGAGATCGAGAGTCGCCGGTGGGGGAAAATGTACGGATGGACGACTAAGGCTTTTGAGATTATAAAAAATTAAATTAAATTTTTATCTCTTAATAGTTGGAAATTAGGTGGAAAACTTAAGAAATTAAATTTTATTTATTTTATTATTTTTTAATTGTCACGTCACACATTTAACGGTCAACTTTTAGAGTTGACTGCCACGTAAGCAAAAGTTAACGGAGTTGGACGGAGAGTGACCAAACGTGAACGGTTTCAGTAAACTGAAGTACCACCAATGGATTTAAATATTTCGAGTTGGCCCTTTAACGATTACTTAACAGATAATTGGATGAAAAGTTTTAATATTAGAAGGGTACATTTGTGCAAAATTTTAGTAGAGGGGTATGTTTGTTAATTTAAGATAGTATAGGAGTACAAAATACTATTAACCCTTTTTACAAATGAAAATCATTCGGACTAGAATTTCTACGCTAAATTTAGAGTAGTGGTATGGATATGTTCATCTAGACCATCTTCCTAGTTACACAAAAATTATCCAGGGACGGCGCCAGGAATATTATTTAGGGGGGAGGATAATTAAGAGGTTTGGCATGGAATGGTGAAAAATAATTTATGATTTCAATAGCAATATTGACTATAATTGTTGAGATAAACTTATCAAATTTTATGTTGATTGACTAGTCTCAACTTTAAGTAAACCACATAAATCGTCATGTCACTCACTTTTCAAACAATCTTTCGATTTTTATTGTAAGAGCTAAATGATAAATGTGATTATGAAGTATTCTAAAAAAGAAAACATTTCGGAAAATTTTGCAAATAAATTCTTATTGTCTAAAGAAAACATCTAAACAGGCGAAAAGAAATAACCAGTCGATAAACTCAAGGAAACTACTTATTTTATGAGTCAATAATTAACATATCTGAATTGTAAATATATAAATTCACTTGATGTTTGTCTGAAATGGATGCTTACGTTTGATAAGATAAGATAACGAAATGAGTTAGAATGGTATTATTATCAAATTGTCAAACAATGATATTATGAGCAAGTAACTATCATTACCAAATAAGAATGAAAATCAAATTAATATATATAAATCTGAAGTTAGGTTACTGTTACCTAATAATTTACAATTTGATACCCCAAATTTAATTAAATCACAACTTAGTCACTAAAATTTACATTTGACATATTTCAAGGTAAAATAATTGGAAGAAAAAAAATCTGAAGTGAGGTTAGTGTTACCTAATAATTTACAATTTGATACCCCAAATTTAATTAAAGTAAACCACGTAAATCGTCATGTCACTCACTTTTCAAACAATCTTTCGATTTTTATTGTAAGAGCTAAATGATAAATGTGATTATGAAGTGATTCTAAAAAAGAAAACATTTCGGAAAATTTTGCAAATAAATTCTTGTTGTCTAAAAAAAACACCTAAACTGGCGAAAAGAATAACCAGTTGATAAACTCAAGGAAACTACTTATTTTATGAGCCAATATTTAACATATCTGAATCTATATATAATATTGTGGCAATTCAAAAGCAATCTCTTGTCACATAAGCACTTGGAAGATCCACAATTTGCCAAGTTGAACAACTTTTTACAAAAAGAAAAT